CCATGCCGGGCAGATTGGTCGCCAGCGTAGTTGGTTTCCTCCGGGGATGGCCAGCTGCCCCTTGATCTAGGTCCACCAAGATCATGCCATGATCCCGACAGAACTCGCGCACCTCCTCAGAACGAGGGGATGTCAAGCTCCTCTGCCTTTGGATCGTACTTGGCCGGGTCCATCGGAGACTCCCCCAGGAACCCAACCGGTTTTTCTCTCCTCCATGAAGAGTCCTCGGCGATCAACCACAAAGCCATCTGCTTGAAGAACAGTGCCGTGTCTCCATTGACCTTCCTTTTGTCCTCTATGGACAAGCCAGACAGTCCATACCGACGTTGGTCCCGGCCCCTCAATGGCTTCGGTCCTGGTTGATTGTGCCGCAACCTGGAAATAGTCCGGCATGGTGGTCCGCCGATCACGGCCCGAATCAGTCCTTTCTTCCCAAGGTACCAAAGGTATCCCCACAAGGCCGCATCATGAAGGTTCTGCCTCGCATTCTCCTCCATGTCTATCGTGATGACCTCGTAGCCTCTCCAATCTTCCCTTCTCCATTCCTTGGCATCCCTTCCGGCGAAGAGGTGAACCACCAGCCCCTTGCTTCTTTCCCATCTTCTTCTCAAGCTCCTGTTGAAAGGGCTCCGAGCGGCGGCTTCTGCTCCGTCCTCTACTCGGCCCATGAGCTCCAGCACCTCCTCCGGAAGATGCGGGAAATGCCGCAACCACCATTCCCGATCCTGGGTTACCACCGCGCTCCCGCCCGGGGCATCCAGGTAATCCATCAACTTCATCGCCGCTGACCGTTTCATGACCGGGCACCCATGACGAAGCCAACAATGAAGCCGACCGTGTCCAGGGTGATCGATGATGCAGCCCTTGGCATTCCACTTGACCACAAAGCCGGCGTCGACCAACATCCTCAGTGGTATGATGGGCTCCACCGGATCCAGCGTCAACAGGGCCGACGTGCCAGGGTGCTTGTACAACACCGTGCTTCCGCAGGCCAACTCCACTTCCACTGCCGTTAGATCGCCTCTTTCGTGCGACCTTGCCTGCCTCAAGGCATGCGTTGCCCCTCCGTCCAGGAGGGCAACTGGCTCCACCTCCTCAGCTCCAGCCTGTCTCTTGGCTGCCTCATACTTGATCTGGAGGGCCTTCATCGATCTCAATGATTTCAGCAAGCCCGCCACTTCCGACATCAACCCAGCTGCCTCCGCAGCATCTTGCGGCGGCTTAGGTGTTCCTCCACCCATGTCCACCGAATTCGGCGGTGCGGTGCTGGGAATCCGACCGGTGACCTCCCGGGACGCCTCCTCCGCGGAGCCCGGTGAGCCAGCCTGTCGGGCCCCTTCACCGCCTGCGCCAGAGCCTTCTCCCGAAGACCTTGCATCCTTCTGCTTCTCGAACTTGGACACCTTGGGAGGGGCCGTTGCTGTCGTCTTGCTCGTGCCCCAGTCCCATTTCTTGACCGGGCAATCCCGCTTCGAGTGGCCCACCCCAGAGCATCCGAAGCACCGGTTGTTCTTCTCCAAGCCATCCCACGAATGGGCGTAGCTGCAACTGCCACCCTTCTTGCATCCTCCATCTGTGCCCCAAAACCTGCATGGTGCCCCGAATGACCGGATCCTTGGCTCCAGAAGTCGCCAGGGCCTTGAGTCCCGCCGCTGGCTGAGTTGGATTGGCCGCGTTGGTCGTGGATGAGGTTTTCAGGGCTGTTGCAAGTGAGAGTTCTTCCGCCTCCGCCTGCAAATACTCCGAGAACTGCTTGATCTTCGCGAGATAAGGGCGAACATCAACTTGAAGTTCTTGGCGAACCGAGGAGATCCGAAAGCTGGCTTGAGCACCCGCTTTCCCGACTGCTTCCGCAATCTTGTTCAGGACCGTCAGCAACACCAAACCATCTGGTAGTGCCACCTCCAACTCCTCTGCCCTCGCCAACCATCTCCTCCACAGCCTCAACGTCTGCAGGGCCTCCGTCAACGTGTTCCCCACCTTCGGATCTGCCAGGTTCTTGAGCAGGTTGCCTCTCTCCGACGTCCCACCCGGCTGATATATCTGGTGAAGGCGAAACATGATCTCCGTGGCCGACATCTTCCTTGCCGAGATGATTTCTCTGCGGATTGGGTCAGGCAGTGCAGCAAGTAGCATGGAAAGCCCCCGTTGCTCCACCCGGTGATTGTGGACATGTTTCTCCCCCAACGAAGGCTTCAGCCTCAGCTTCTCCAAGGGGGTTGCAATCAGCCACTCCATGTAGGTGGATTCTGCTCGTTGAAGAACATCCTTCCACCACTCTTGAGCTGAACCTGCAATGTCCGCCATCAACGGCCCGATCACCGTCACCCAATCTCCAAAGGTCAACGCTGCCAGATCTCCTCCAGGGGGAGGCAGACTGGGCAACTCCAAATTCCTCAGAGCCTCCGACAAGTGAGATGGAGCACTCGGCTTATTGTCGTCCAATCCCCTCGGAGGTGGCGGTGGTGGTGGAGGTGGCTGAGGTCGATTTCCTTCATCATGAAGCGGTGGAGGACCAAGACCTCCAACGACCCCTCCTTCTGATGCCGTCCTGTAGGAAACATCGTCCCTCGTTCTTGCCGCCTGCAATCTCGCCACTTCTCTTTCGAAGATCTCCTCCGCGTCCCTCATCACCCGTAGTCGCAGAGCTTCAAGATCTTCTTCTTGTCCTTGTAGTCGTCCTCGGTCTTCGGTAGTCGCCCTGCCAGCAGACACAGGTTGTGCTTGGGCGGCCCTTCTTTGAACCTCAGGGCTCCAAAACGGGTTCACCCCGCCACCTGCTGGTGCATCTCCCGGACCATAGGGACCTCTCCGATTCCCACTCAAAGTCTCCCGACCATCATAGGGCTCCAACTGCCTCGGCCTGACTTCCCATTCCTGGCCTTGACCTTGATGAGCCGTTAGTTCCCGACTAGCTGAAGGACGCCCGTCAGGTTGTCCACGCAGTTGACCATGCCCTTCAGGTTCTCCCGAATCATGACCATGCCTTACTCCCGGATGTCCTTGGTCTTCTCCACCAGCCAGGAATTGCCCTTGGGGTACTACAGCATCGTGCCCGCCGTGCGCCCCAGAACGTCCTCGGATTTCCTGAGGTAGCCCGCTTGGCCCAGGTCCTTCGCCAGACCCACGCCCTCGAGACCCACCAGGATGGAATTGACCCCCACCCCGATCTTGAATTGGTTCACCTGGCCGTTCCAGAATCCGCTCCTGTTGGCCGGGTTGTTCTCCTTGTCCAGGGGGACCCCGTAGAGCTCCTTGCCCGCGGCGTCCATCTTCGGCCAGATCCGGCCCCAGCCCGGGAGGGGGAAAAACATCCCTTCCGCCCCTAGGCTCACTCCGTTCCGGACCGGTGACCCGGCGAATCCCCCGCCGGTCCTCCAGATCCTCCGACCTCGCCCTCCGCGATGCCCGTTCCTCCTCCTGTACCCGCTCCATGATGAGGCGGTCCAAGGCCTCATCTGCGGTCTCCCCATCTCGTACCACTTCTCGCCGGCGCCTGCGAATCATGGCTTTACCTCAGAGAGTTTGGGCTCATAACCTATGGTTATGTCTATGCAAAAAGATCGCGCTTTTTCCAGCGCTTGAGCCAATGGCCGTCGCCATTGAATGGTTCCGTGTGCATCATGTTTCTGTTGAACATGCACAGAAACAATTCAACCGGGATATCCGTCAAACAACGACACACCCATATGCATGTGTGCTAGTTGTCAAAATTCCTTGGTCTCTGTAACAATGATGCTCATCACGGTTGCTTAAAATTGTTGTGTTGGGGGGTTGACTATTATCCCTATACCTAATTCCCCTCTCCCCCCCCCTTGAAAAAAAAGCCACACATGCTCGCAAAGCACTGACCAAGAACACTTCTTAGAAACAAGAGGCAGGACCCCTCTCCTTTCAATTTTTGAACGGAGGTTTCGGTGATATCGGGAAGACATGGGTTACATAACCTAGTAGTCAAAGGCACTGGGGCAACACCGAGAACACTTTCCAACAGCGAGAGTGGGACACACACAAGAAACAGGGCCCTCTTCCAACACCAGAATGTATTGTTCCCTTCAAGGCAACATTGGGACCTGTCAAAGGGAGGGCCCCTCAAAGACCAGGTGCCTCTTCTAAATGGGGGCCGGTTGCCCACATCAAGCCCAGGTGGTTGGGGGAGAACTTGATCGAAGCACAAGTAATAACTGGCCATCTCTTGCAGTGGTTTGCCTCCCGGGGGGGGGGGTTGGGCGGGGGATGCAAGGGTCGACATTGCAGCATGGCTGGGAAAATGCATTCAGTCCAAAAAGGAACCCTCACAGATGGACAAAACCCACTTTGCACCGGTTGGGACGGACGACATCCCATGAATGCTGATGGATTTCTTTCCCCATGGAGAGAGCCAAGCAAGGGTGGCGAAAGGAATTCGTTGAATTCCTAAGCAACAGGCCGGAGACTTTTCATCCAGGTGCGCCCAAAGTAAAGGGACCCGGAAAGGGGCTTTGGAGCCGAGTCAAAGGGGGGTTCCTCGCCCTTTAAGTAAGGGTATCAACCAATAGATTGGCACAGTTGATATTCCAAAAGGGGTAAGATAGATAAGCTCTGTAACAAATCATTCAAAATAGTTGATGGACCAAGGGGGATTGAACGGCAGGTATTGCACGGGGTATTGAACGAAAACTGTTCATTACACATTGAACAGGGTATTGAACGGCAGGGTAACCCCTTCATAGCCCAATACATCGGGGGTTTGACTCACAGCCATATATATATATATATAGTACAGTACATGTGCAATGCAAATTTGGGTCAACTACTGAAGCATGCAAGCTTTGCGCAAAGGTCCCCAGTTTACAAAAATAATGAAGGCCCCCCCCCCAAACAAAAATAATAATAATAATAATAATAAAAAAAATAATAATAATATCAACATAATAACCAACAAAAACAAACAAGAAAAGAAGACAACAACGTGAACCTGTCTGGCAATCAAACGGGCAGGTCCCTTCTTTCCGAGCCGCTGATGTGAAGGCGACCGCCAAATGACGTCCCCAGGCCTTGGGGCACTCGAGCGAGTGAGGAAGGAGCGTGCTCCTTCCCCGACCATCAAGGCCTTATTTGGCCTGGTGTCTCTCAAATGAGTCATAGTCAAAACCCGGTACTAAAATGGTCGACCCAACCATGTAAAGAACTAAGAAGGCGGCCGCAGCTATTTATGGTTGGGATTGTCCCTTACCAACCTTCATCTGCCCGGGTTTTGATTGTGGCTCAATAAGGCCTAGGTCCTCCACTAGAGAGGTTAGAAAAAGGGTACCCCTTTTCTTCTGTAGTCTATTTTTGTAGGGGAACCCTCCCAACCAAAAGAGGGGTGGGAAAGGGCACTACTGGGGGACCTAGAGGCTTAGTTGACCCCTCCCACTCGGGAATAATCTTTGGAAGACGTGTAAGGCCTTTCAAACTGATTCCATGGAAAGACACAACAATGTAAGGAGTAGGACCCCGGTTTGTGCTGAAAAAGGAAAGGACTCCTTTTTGAGAACCACACCACTCCTGCCTTGAGAACCTCGGAAATGGCCCGCACCCCACCCCCCCCCCCAGGATCCGCCAACCAGTTTGCTTGGCAAAACGGGCGGAGGAGCAAAACCGTGCAACTCCTGGCAAGTCGATTTGCCTGCGATCAAAGGCCGAGCAGTTCTATGACACGAGGTTTCGGGCACCCACAACGGTTCTGCCAGGGAGAAACGGATCGTATCTAAGGCCGCACAACAAATCTATCGGGTTCGGGGGTGTGCCCCAAACAAGTGCAGGATCCTCAAGTGGGACGCCCGCTTCTCAATTCTCATTGTCATTCAACCTGGTGGATTGTTTTTTGGCCGATTTGCGATAAAAAAAGTCCACTGACTCTGGTCAGGAACCCTCGGTTAAGGTTCGCGTCTGATCGCGTGAAGGCACTCAAGTCTAGGCATAGGTTCAGGAAATCCCACGCAGTTGAAAAGGGCGATGCCTGTGAAGTGTGCGAACTTGGATGCAAGGCTCAAATCTTCACCAAGATGCTTAAGAAGACGCTGGAAAGAATCACTTCAGGGCAGGGTTCTTAGTAAGTGGGTAACCATGCAGTTGTAACCCACGTACCATCTTTATCCATGATTCTCAGTCGTCTTAGTGGGTTTCATAACCAGGCTTACAAATCACTAAGTACCATATGGAGCTACAACCCACTATGGTTCTCCGTCTTCACGACCCGCAGCTTCCGAAGAATGCGACTCGCGACTCCCCCCGATTTGCCCAGGCACCGGCCACGGCTCCATGGGATTCCGCTGGAATTGCATGTCGTCGTAGCCGGGCAGCCGCGAATCCTCAGCTAGTGCCACGCGCGTGAAAGGAACCCGAAGCCGGGTAAGAGCCATGGTCACTCCTGCGGCTTAATTTGTTTTCTTAAATGCGGCTGGGCTTTCTGAAATAAACAACTGAAGTCTAGAATTCCTTAGGGGTCATGACCGTCCCTACCAGACTTAAAGGCTCTGTTGAACGCACAGTTGAAGGTTGTTTTCCCTGCTGGCGGACGTTTTTCGGGCTTGCTTTCAAGAGCGACCAACAGGAAAAAACACCGTTGAGGATTCCACGATGTTGAGACAAGCCAATTGAAACAGCCCGCAAAACCAGTTGACCTTTAGTGCCACTAACATGTTCATAAATACATATACCTTGAGATTCCAAAAGCCCGCTTTTAGCAGGTCTTACGATATAGGACCCGCAAAACGCAGGCCGACCCAAAATGTTACGGGGAGAGGCCTGTTTTGCAGCAGCACTGGTCGTGTAGTTACACAGCATTAGTTTGCTGGCTTGGGTATGGCTTTCACAGCATTTCAAGGAATGTGCGTTTGTAGATCGAGCGATTTGCGTAACTTCTGCTTGCATTTTGCGTGACATTGGCCTCGTTTTTTAGGGAAAGGCCATCTTTTAGTGCGAAAGACCGTGAAAGCGTAGAGCAACGCGACAAGAGCGACCCCTTGCAGTTTAGCTCCACATGAAAGACCACTCGAAAGCACGCCACTTTTCTGCTGGAAACACCTTTGCCGACGAACATCATAATGAAGCGGTGTGCAGAACAGTGAAAGCCAGGCAGCACTTGTAAGGGCAATGCTTGTGCGAAATGACAATGCAGTGGTCCCCACATTCACGCTGGCCTCACGATTTTCTTACGTTTTTTCACGGCCTTTTGCGCCAAAAGAGGGCCTTTCGCGCAAAATCGGGGCCGCCATCACGCAAAACTCACGAACAACTCACGCAAAACTTACTCTACATACCTATGCTCACGCTGCGCCCACATTTGTCCATCGATTCGTCCCGCACAATGTTTCAACTCTGGGGCCACTGACGCACACAAGACTCACACAGACTAGCGTCTAATCAACAGGCACCATGATTACTGCAAATTCAGATGCCAATCCATTCCCAAATGATGGTGCCTAAGACCTTTGCTGCAGCTCGCGTTGTCGCCAATTGCGCTGGAACGAAGTACAGGCTCAAACAGATTCACCGCGGAAACGTCCTGACAAGTCAATTTACAAGTAATTGGGAAGTGAAAGCACAGTTCGCCATAAGATGTATCCTAGAGTTCATTTTTTTAGGCAACACACTCACCTTTGTTTTTGCACCCATTTAGGCAAGCGCTGCAAATGGGGCCTAGGCCGCCGAAAAGCAGGCTGCATTCCGAAAGATTCGGAGAGACCCGCAAAAAGCAGGTTGCGGAAGGTCAAGGATATATATATATATATATATATGCCCACCCCCCCCTTGCAGGGCCCACCTTTTGAGGGAAAATCATACAAATCATGATAAATTTGGAGATGGGGGTGAGCATATGCTTATATGAGTATGAGCCATCATATAATCACTTGTCATCTTGATCTGCAGCATCCATAACTCAAGGCATCTATTTGCTCCTGTAGCTGAGATGATTGCTGAAGGGAGTGAAATTGGCCTCGAGGAAGCCTTGAATGCAACGAACTCTCTCCAGCTGCGGGTCCTTGCAAAGCCCAATATAGTGCATCTTCCTCGAGGTCCTGTGTCACCATGAATGAGCTAGTTTTGACTGTTTTCCATGGCTGCCAGCACCAAAAAAACGAACCGTGTGAGCCCTTTGCATCTTGAAGCTCCAAAACCTGCACAGGAACCAAAAAAATGAAAGTGGAAGTGCCAAAACCTGCACAGGAACAAAAAAAAGAAATGAAAATCTCAGAGAGAACTTTCCATCTGACCTGGAGATCTCCCTCAGGATTTCCATTTTTTTGGTTTTTTTGGTTCCTGTGCAGGTTTTGGGACTTCCACCTCCATTTTGTTTGTTCCTGTGCATGTTTCAGCATCTTGAAGCTCCAAAACCTGCACAGGAACCAAAAAAATGAAAGTGGAAGTGCCAAAACCTGCACAGGAGCAAAAAAACAAAAAAATGAAAATCTCGGAGAGAACTTTCCATCTGACCTGGAGATCTCCCTCAGGATTTCCATGTTTTTGCTTTTTTTTGTTCCTGTGCAGGTTTTGGGACTTCCACTTCCATTTGTTTTGTTCCTGTGCATGTTTCAGCATCTTGAAGCTCCAAAACCTGCACAGGAACAAAAAAATGAAAGTGGAAGTGCCAAAACCTGCACAGGAACAAAAAAAGAAATGAAAATCTCAGAGAGAACTTTCCATCTGACCTGGAGATCTCCCTCAGGATTTCCATTTTTTTTTTTTTTTTGTTCCTGTGCAGGTTTTGGGACTTCCACTTCCATTTTGTTGCTTTTTTTGGTTCCTGTGCAGGTTTTGGGACTTCCACTTCCATTTTTTTGTTCCTGTGCATGTTTCAGCATCTTGAAGCTCCAAAACCTGCACAGGAACCAAAAAAATGAAAGTGGAAGTGCCAAAACCTGCACAGGAACAAAAAAACAAAAAACATGAACATCTCAGAGAGAACTTTCCATCTGGCCTGGAGATCTCCCTCAGGATTTCCATGTTGCTTTTTGTTTTTTTGTTCCTGTGCAGGTTTTGGGACTTCCACTTCCATTTTTTGTTCCTGTGCATGTTTCAGCATCTTGAAGCTCCAAAACCTGCACAGGAACAAACAAAATAAAAGTGGAAGTCTAACTGCCAAAACCTGCACAGGAACAAAAAAAAGGAAATCCTGAGGGAGATCTCCAGGTCAGATGGAAAGTTCTCTCTGAGATTTTCATTTTTTTTGTTCCTGTGCAGGTTTTGGCACTTCCACTTTCATTTTTGTTGGTTCCTGTGCAGGTTGTGGAGCACAGGGGTAAACAAACCCCTGTGAAATGGAAGGTTTCCCAGTGTTTGTTTCACTCCCATGTCTACAAAACACTGGCAGGTGCACACTTTCCAAAGTAATAAACATCAAAATCGAAACCGGATTCCGGTTTCGAGTTTGATCTCTGCAAGGATGCATCTCTTGAAGGCACAACGCATCTGTGAAACAAAAACCTTCAAAAAACACTGGTTTTTACAGTGTTTTCTTGAGGCCCAACATTTGTCACAAAGATTTGCAAACATGAAATGTTAGTTGTTTATGTTAAAGGTGGGCCCTGGGGGGGGGGGGTGACCATATATATATATATATATAAAGATTCATTCTGGCTTGCTCTTTTCCGCGCTGCAAGACCAGATTTGTCTGAAAAATTGAAACTTGAAACCTGCATTAAATACTAAACACCTCTTCCCAGTAGGTTGTTCAAGACCCCGGGGTCTTCCTGGCCAAGCCCAGGTAAGCCCCAGCCCCAGCCTTGATTAAAGACCACCCCACTTTGTCTGGCCAAGCCCAGAAACTAAAAGGGGGTTGAGTCTTTCGAGTCGGATTACCCCTCGACTCCTTAAAACTCCAACCGCCGTCTTCCCCCAGGGCGGTTTTGAAAAGGGTCGGATTACCCCTCGACCTCACTTTTGACCTTCCTTCCACGTCCCCCAGTCCTGCCTGTGGCATGCTCAAATTTCGGCAACGATGCTTTGACCGCGGCCAGATACTGGTTTTTGAACACCCCCACATCCGGATGGTTGGGTGTTTTCATTTCAGCCTGAATGGCTAACCCTTCATTGAGGTAAATACGGGCGGTATCTTATCCAAAGACCCATGTTTACGAAACCAAAAGGTTGCCCCGCCGCGCCTTAAACTGTATGGACGAAATTCAAAAGCGTCCAAACGCAGATCCTTGAGATATTGCGCGAACTTCTGACGCCACTTATGGGGCGCGGGACACAAGTTGACGGGAGTCACCGAAGACTCCTTCCACTGTGAGAGTCGACGAACGACATCCGCGACTGACACGGTGACGCTTTCGGCGGCACCCTGCCGCTTACCAGCCTTGGTAAGACCAAGTGAAATGACTGCGGGAGTAAATCCAACTCCCGGAGAAACATGGGATTTCATTATACCCAAAATTTCGCCAGTCCTCAACATGGAATAGAAGCCGACAAGGAGTGAAAGGGCAAAAAGCGGATCCTTCCGGAAAAGCGCCAGACCAACTAGCGCGTGAAGGATATCTTCGGAAATTGGAGGCGCACGATTTGGCATTTCATTAGAAACCCAAGTCTTCATAAGCCTCCAGCTTTGCTGGAGCTTGCCTCGTACCTGGGGTTGCGCATCTTGTATGGCGGCTAAAGTATCAGACCCCAGGGCCCTGCCTTCACCATTTGCCCATAAATGTTCCAAATATTCGCCGACCAACTCATCCAAGAAGGATTGATCAGTCGGAAGAACCTTCCCATTAAATTTGAGGAAGGAAAAGAATCCTTTCAAAGCTCGGTCATACCGGACACGAGTAGCTGGCTGAACTGTGATTTGTTTTAAACTTCCAAGTCGCTTGCGAATTTTGACCCTGTCTTCTTTGGTTCTCCCTTCAACGCATTTAGGGCTCATTTTACCCATTTCTTCCGGACACTACGCCGACTCGGTCGGTCGGCTGGATTCTGAGACGTGTGGACATACGCCCACACCGGAAAACAACGGGAGGCCAAAAGAAGACAATTGATGCGGGTCAAAGTTCTGCGAAGTTTGCGACTGCTGGTACGCCCTCGGGCAAGGGAATGCATGCATACTAAACTGTCCGTCAAGTGAATAAATTTGGCACGAGCCACTTTGCGTTTCTCAATCCACCACCTGACACTGGTTAAAATGGCCCGGAGCTCCAGGCAATTAATGTGCTCGGGGCCTCCAACACTGCGAAGGGATGCTAGCCCGCAACCTATGAAACTTCAACTGTTCTTCAGCTCACAAGTGGACTAAAATATCCTCTCCCTTCAAACTGACATGGTTGAGGAATTTCTTGGCGAGAGTGAGCTCCTCCTCCTTCGACCCTCTTTTTCGGGAAAACGA